CATTTGTCTTTGAGTTCGTGGGGGTGAGGTTCGGTTTCTGTTCAACAAAAAACAAAGAAAAACGAGAGCGACATTTCCTCTATATGTCGCCTGTGTGTTGCGCTCTCTTTCCACCCTTTCTGTATGTGTGTTTCTTCGGTTCCATTCTTTCCCTTTTTTTATTGATAAAAGTCCGCAAGAGTGCACGTTATGGGCCCGTTTCCGGTTCGGTCGCGATTGCGGCGGCCGCCTTGATTTGTTGTACTGCCGCCGCCGCCTCCACCGCGTGCTACAAACGATTTCGGAGGGAAGAAAACCACTCTTCCTCTCTCACTCTTTCATACAAACAAAACAACACTCTCACTCTCTCTCCAACGCATTCTTTTGTGGGGAAAAACTGCGAGACGAAATAAAGAGAATGGTTGAAAGAACGAACGAACGAAGAAGGAAAAAAAATAGAATTCGGCACATATAAATCGATCTTGCATTTAACCAATTTAACAAGCGAAGAATAAACACAATCGAATCGTTGATTGCGCCGCCGCCCCCGCTTTTCGAATCTGTAAGCGTTTTCGATTTGATTGAATTCGAACGTTATTTTTCTCTCTCTCTCACCCTTTTTGTCTTTTCTTTCTTTCCCTTCTCTCTATATGTGTGTGATAAAGGTTCCAGTTCGGAATTAGTGTGGATGTGAACGAAATCGTTTAGAATGTATGTTTTATTTTTATTTTGTTCCCGTTTTTCTTCCTCCTCGCTCTATTTGTGTATATCTTTTTCCCTGCCTTTATTATTATTACTATTATTATTATTGTACCCTCTCGTTACTTGCTCCATTTTTATGCATACGCCACCCCCAGTTTCACCCATAAAAGTGTATGCACGAGAGAAAAAAACATGTCCCAGCAATAAAAACAAGAGCAGAAAACACACACGTTGTTGCACTGTTAAAACAATTTTATTTTACTTCTTTCTTTTCGTTCTATTTTATTTACCAGATAGAAATAGGTACAATCATGTATACAGTCACAGCTCGATTAATTTTACCTCTGAAGAAAAATAACATCCAAGATGGCTCAAAAATAGGTTTTCATGAAGATGTTTGAATATTAGAATAAATTTCAATGCATGCATTTTATGCAAACTAATTTTAAGAATTTTAATAAGATTTTCTTGATTAACTATCCCCAACTCAAACGACTAGAACAAACTAGAATTCTAAGATTTATCTAAACTTTGTCGCATAAAACAACTACAGTAAAACTAGAACTTGAGCGTTGAGAAACCCTTTTGGTGATGTGTACAAGTTTTATTATGTTTTGAATGTTCATACCTTTATTACAATGATCAGCATCCATCAGGAAGGTTTAACCAAACAATATAATCTTAAATTATAATTTTTTGTTCTTAATGTTAAGATAATAATAAAAAAAGTTTTGATTAATTTCGTCCCAATATTAATTTAAAAATTAGCTTATTTTTGTAAGTAGTTCAGGTCTAATGGATTATTTCGTATAAGAATTGGAAACTCGCTTTTCTTAATAGTTTTCTTCGTTCATTTTTCACTAGGAAATGTAATTGGTTTCTTACGAGCTTTGTATTTTCTATTCTATTGTATTATATAATATATCAAATGCAATTCTCAGTTAGTTTCATTCTTCATTCGTTTTCCAACGTACAATTACAAATTCATATAAAAGTACTCCACATTATTTTAAACGTGCAAGACATTCATATTAACGTACTCGATAAAATAAAAATCATACACTTTGCCGTCGAAACACGAAATCATGTACATATTATTTCAATTTGATATTCGAAGGAAATAAAACTTATGTTTTCGTAAAACGAGTTATGGAAAATAATACGTCTAACGCCTCACTTTGACTGAGATAAAATTCAAATACAGTGGAACCTCGCTAAACGAGTTTAATCCGTTCCAAATTTTCGGAATTTTACTCGTATAGTAAAATACTCGTATAGTAAAACATATTAAAAATACATATAATATGTGAACACAAGTTTTAAAAATGTTGCATGCGCGCAATCCGGGACTTCTCTTCTCATCGTCACTCGTTATGCGAAACGTCGCTCGTTAATCGAGTCATTTTTCTTACAATTCATTTTGCTCGTTAAGCGAAATGCTCGTTATGCGAGGTTCCACTGTATATGAAATGAATGCTTCAAGGTATCCGATTATCGTCATATGATTATTTGTAGGTTAGTTCGAAACGTACGTTATATGAATGTTAACTGTATTTATATATTCATACTAGAAGTTCAAATCAACATACTGACTTTCATATGAACGTACAATATGAATGCTCCATACAAATCTACTAACTAGTCTGATTAACGTCATATGCATATCTGTATGTTTATTAGGAACGTATATTATGCGTTAACTATACAGTTTAAGAGAAACCCCTCAACTTTTGAAAAGACTTTTACAATTCCAGCTAAACTAGTGCAGAATCTCGAATCTGATGTTCCCATTTTCAATGATCTTACTCAAAACATTAGCCCATTCATTCTGTGATATTCCAATTTTTTTCTTATTTCTATTTCTTAGTGTCTATAAAATATGTATTATGTGTCCTTTAAAATATGTAATCTTAATGTTTTCTAAATGTGTACTTGTCAAAATGTGTTCTCTAAAATTTCTATTCATGTTCTAATCTCTTCCTGATTTCAAGAATGTTTTGTTTTTACTCTACAATGTGCTTCTATCATATAATGTAAAACTTTTTTTTACATACTTATTAAATCTAACCCTTAAACTGCATGCTGAAAGAGCTTAGGCTTAAGCAGTATGAATACTATGTAAAATGCAAACATGTAAACCACTTCATATATGAATAAAAACATTTGAAACAAGAGAAAGCATACTTTATTCCTAAAACGAGTTTTAAAAAACAAACATCTATATATTTACATGAATGTATTCGATATTCATTCATATTAACATACTTTCGTTTGAATGTACACTTTGACATATTTGACAATTATGTCTATATTCATGTAAATTTCATTAATAAAGTCACATATATAATATAAAAGCTCCATGCGAATCTACGGTCCGATTAAAGGTCATATGAACATATGTGTGTTAGCTCAGAACGTACGTTATGTGAACGTTAACTGTATTTATATATATTGTCATATGAACACACGTATGTTAGTTTAGAACGTCCGTTATGAGGTATACTTATATATAGCTTAGGATAAAGCTTATTTTTTTTATAAACCAGTTACAGAAAACGAACATACACACATGTTGACATTCATAAACACTTTAATATTGAATCACAAAATGATGTTTTTATAAATGTAACGTTCACTTATTTAATATTACATAAAATTTAAATAAAATTATAATAAACAATATATTTTGTCCTAGAGCAAGTTTTGGAAAAAAATATTTTTAACGCATCAATTTGAATTAACACGATTGGTGATTGTACGTTAATGCGAATATGTTTATGTTAGTTCGGAACGTACGTTAAGTCAATTTACTTTAACTGTATTTTATTATATATTTACATCTTCATTATTTATATATTTTTTTTAAATTTAAGACTAATTATAGAATTTTATGCTTTTATCGTAATCCAAATAAGCTTTCGTCAATTGCAGAATGATTTATACCCTTCGCCCGCGTAATTAGGTGCTGAAAACTCGGTGCGCGGAATTCGGGCGATTATCGATGGGAAAACCTGGCTGAGCGGAATTTATGGACCGTTTGGCCCACATTCAATTATTTGCAATTGCGCCGCGCAACGCCTTTTTGTTCGACAATTGTTGTCTCCCATTCATAGTGAGAGGCGGCAACGAACAACAACAACAACAACGACGACGAACGAAACAACAATCAGAAATTATTTACATACATTCCCGGCGCAAATATTCATCGACTTCCTATGCCCTTTTGAATTCCTCCCATACCGAAATTAATTACTCCGCCGCAGCGATCGAGGCAAAACCCCTAAGCTTTTTAGTGCACGTGGCATTTAATTTTTCGGTTACTTTTGGCGCGCAAAAACCGTAATGAAAGAATGAAAGAAAGAGAAGAGTCGCTTTGAAAAGTTCACTGTTTTCTGGGTCATTTTCCGTGAGGGATGATGATGATGGTCGGTGAAGGAAGGAGATGGGGGCGGCCCTGAGGGCGGTAATTAGGCGAGTCCCCGGTAATTGGAACTTTTTGTGTTAAACGCGGGATGAAAGCGTTGACCGGAGGGCATTTAATAAAAAGGAAGGGAATATATAATATGTGTATATACATATATATCAGAGCATGCGGCCGAAAATAAAAGGGACTGCGAAACGAATGCGTTTGAGTTATTATCAGTCGCCGCCGCCGCCGCCTCCTCCTCCACCAACTACTTCTACTCATTCTGCTCCCCTCTTCATTTCTATCTTCTTTTTTTTATCCACCCCCGCGCGCTTTCGGCTTGTTTATGTATGTTTTCACTTGGGAAAGAGAGCTACAGAGTTGAGGGGTGACTGAGGAGGAGCTGGAGGTGGCGGTGGAAGGAAGGCGGCTTGAATTATTAGGCGACCGCCGTTGCCGCCGCCCCCAAGAGAAAACGCACTCTCTTCTTCATCTTTCTTTTATGTCTCGGAATTTATGAAGTCCCCGGAGTGTTTTTGAGAACGAGAGAATATCCGTCCTTCGCCCGCTCCGAACTTAGTTCGACTTTAATTAGATGCATAATTATTCCGTTCTTTCTACCACCTCCACTTCCTTTCGTTCAACGTTTGTTGCCTGTCAATTTACTTACTCGCGTTCAGCGGGATGTTGGATATTTGAGGGGGCGGCTGTTGTTGCTGCTGCTGCTGTTGCCCCAAAGCGGCGATGTGATGGTGCCCGCCCCTCTGGTAACCCAAAACCGCCCCATGGTACAGCACCTGGTGATGCTGCTGCTGCTGTTGTTGCTGCCTGAACCCCGCCACTTTGATCGATGCCTTCAAACGCACTTTCCCATAATCTCCTCGCACGTTCTTCAGCTTGATTTCTTTTTTTGTTATTATAATATTACTATTATTATCACTTAATTTCCAATCGCACTGAAAATGGTTTAAATTACCATCAAAGCCCCATCAACTAACTCATCCCGAAACTTCAAGATGATTGTGTGTGTGTGATTTCTTCCGCCAACAATCCTAATTTCTCTTCTTTTTCCGAGAGGAAGAGAAACGTGCGACGGGAAGGAAACTTTAACGCGCGGCCTACTTAAGAGACTTCCCGCGGAACGGGGCCAGGGAAAAGTAGAAGAGCGAGTGAAAAACAAAAGACGAATAAAAAAAAAGGAGCGAGAGACCGTCAAACCGTTGTGTGTGGGGTAAGGAACGGAAAAACTTTGTCCATTCGTCACCGGGACGAGAAGGAAGAACGAAAAAATAAAATAAACGGAAGAATTAAAATTTCCGGAACAATTTAAAGGTGTGTTCCTTCTTTTTGCTCTGTCGCTTCTGCTCTTCTTTTATTTCCTCTCATTAGTTTTATTTCACCCAAGTGAACGTTATAAACTCGTCACTTTATCATACACAATTTTAATATTTCTTTTTGTATGAATTCATGTGTTTTTGCTTATCTAATCTTATTATTAACAAAAATTGTATTGACCCTAATTATTTCTGCCCTATATAATCTTAATATTCGTATCAGTTTTGTTGAAATCTGTTATATTAATCTAAATACACCTTGAATTATTAACGCTCCTATTTACAACATTTGTCCCAGAAGAACCCAAGGTGATAGGTCAGTTAATAACAATAGTTTGGTTTGTTCTTTTATGTATTTCTTTCCTGTAATTTCATTTTATTCTTATAACAATACTTTATTTTCAGCTTTGTATTTGTAGTTTTTTATGAAAGCAATAAACTATAATTATACATATAAAAAATACAATTACAAAGAGCAATTGATTGCCAGTATTTCCATATATATATATTTTCAGTAAATTTATGTTTACGTTACTTATATTGATATTTCCTACTTTTGATTCTTAGTTAAATTTTCATCTTATGTAAATCTGTAATTAATTCTATAATTGAAACTATATTTTTTTCAATATTTTCGAACAATTATTTTGTTTTAATCATTTTATAATAATAACATTTATTCCAATGTACACAAACTAATAAGTTAAAACCTTAAGTAGGTTTCTTTTTATTTAACACTGTTTTTTCTCAATAATCTATTTTGTGCAATGACCCATTTATTATAAAGTTATCCATGAAAAAATCGGTTTCCGAACATAAAATCCTAACCAAAAATGAACCTGTATTCGTACATAATTTTCGTTTGTTAACAGAAATCTGATAAATAAATAGGAAAGATCTTTAACTTACGTAATTTCATTTCTATAGATCAAAGCTATTATTTTTTTTAATTTTATCTATTTATTTTACTTTCTGCAATTTTTTTTATAAAAGGTTTTAAAAATGTTGTCTTAAAATTTTCTTGATATACTTATTAGATCTGATTATCCAAATTTCATTAAACCATAATTTTCGGTTTTCAAACTATACGATTCAAATTGCCTTTATGAATTTGTATTCGTCAACTAATTAATCTTGCATGTATGTATTTACTGTTCTTATTATATGTAATTTAATAGTTTTACATTTCTTTTCTATGTAATTTTATGCATAAGCGAATGATATAGGAGTATAAATCTTCAAGATTTCTTGTTGTACTTGATTGAACGGAATATGCAAGAAATGGTTTCGGTTTTCGAACAATTCGATTAGAATTTTTATTATTGTTGTTGTTATAAAAGTATAAATTTCCAGAGATTCTTTAATATACAGCAATACCTCGCATAGTCCGGTTTAAACATTTCAAAACAAACTAAATTTTTATTGAGAAAAATTACATTAAATTTTAAAAAAAAATCTATAGAAATTAATAAAATAAAGTGAGGTTTGTATTAAGTTCCTCGATTAGTCCGGAATATTGAAGGAAAAGAGCATCCGCACTATACGAGGTATTGCTTTATTTGATTAACTGTTACATTTATTGCTACAGTTACAAATTATTACAAGAAAATGATATAAATCAGAATTTTTAATATAAAAAAAAATACTAGAAATAATATAAAGTTTTTGACACAATTTCTATATTTATAAGAAAAAGCGATAGCCGCACGACCGAAGTACGTAATAGAATATTGTTTTATTATTTTTATTTTCGTAAAGCGAAAAGAAATAACACGATGTTTTCCCTCGACTTACACGTATACACATATATGTATGCATTATAGGTAATTCACGTGCCGGAGGGGGTGTTTTCTTTCCGCTTTATTTTTTCCGTTTTCTCCACTTTTAACTGCCGTAATCGTAAAATCTACATAACATCCATTTTAATTTCATTTAATAATAATAAAAATAAACCCTTCCCCGTTGGGAGAAAAGACGAGGGGGGTTGCAAAAGGCGCATACAGAGCGAGAGAAAGATTGTATCTCTCTCTGTTAGGGAAAATTTTATTCTCGTTTCGTTTCGCATTTATTATTTCAACAATAATATTTATTAATACAAAAAAATAAATCGTATTTTTATTTTTAAATTTTATGTGTAAACGTTAATAATTTGGCTTCATTTTCTTCCGTGTGTAAAAAAAAGAATATAAAACGTTACGTTATTTGCATTTTTTTTTAAAGTTGAATCGAAATCCAATCAGCGTCGGAATTTTTAATAATTAATTGCCGTATAATTACAAACGTTTCGTGTTCGTGTATGTGTGTGAGTTATATGCGCGATTGGGGAGGGATGAATTATTAATTTATTCATTAAAATACACGGGTGCGCATCGGTCCCAAAAACCCGAAAGCCCATAAAACCGGAGGACCGGTTTAATTAGAAATAATTCGGATCGCAGAAAACAGGAAAAATCACAAACTACAAACGTATTGTTCGTTCGACCATCGGCAGATTGCTGCCTGCATATCTTTCCCGACGAAAGCAAACTTCGTTTTATTCTGTGAAAATAGGAAAACGGGAGTTGCCGGCCAACAAATCAAAATAGTTTTTGAAGCGATAAAACACACACACACATGCATGCAGAAGGGAGAAATAAGAAGCGAGCGAGAGAAAAGTTTTCTCTTTTGACCAAAGGAAACGGAGGAAGACGAAAAAAAATATAGAATGAGGAAGAGAGAGAAAATCGACCCACAAATTCCTCTTTTGGGGTGGAAGAAATCACATCTAATAAACGGGAGGGGAAACTTATGCAGCGCGTGGGTCAAAGTCCAAGCGGAAGGACGAAACAACAACAACAGTATAAATCTCGATGTTAGAGAGCAAAGTATAAAGTAAATACATGCAAGATTAATTGGTTGACTTCAACTTAATGCACAAATCAGTTAATACGTGTAGTATTTCTCTGAGGTTGATAATTTTCCAAGATTATTGACTGAAGCTATCGTATTTATTGTTGTAATTATTTTTTTTGTAACTTTAGTAATAAATGTAGTTCAAATATAATAAAAATACACATAATTTGTTCTCTATAATTATCAATTTTCCGCGATTGTAGCAATTTCATGAGTATATTTTAATAAAACAAAAATATTTTTATTTAGTTTTTGCTATTCTATATACATATAATAATCATCTTAATTTATTTACTAATTTCCCTATTTCCATACTTATGATTTTGTAACAGTTGTAATAAAATTGTCAACTTTTAATTTGTAATTTAAAAATTTCATTTCCAATTGCATATGTATATTTAAATTACACAGTTATTGCATTTCTTGATGTACTTTTTAATTTATTACTGAATGTAAATGTAATTCTTGCTAAGATGTAATAGAATACAACAGTAATTATTTCAATTTAATTTGTATATTTTAATTACCCAAATATACAATATTTATTTGTTCAATTTCGATTATTTCGTAAACATAAGCTATTGCGTTTATGGACGTACTATTTAATTTGTTTCATGATATAAATGTTATTATTTTTAGATTATAATGGAATACACAGAATAAATTTGTAAAATGTTCAACTTTCGGAAATTATTCCACTTGTAATTAATTCACTTTAATCTAAAACTTATATAGATTAAAGTGAAATAATTACAATAATATTTATATTTTTTATTTTTTTCATAGACTTAATTGTATATTGATGTAATCATTATTATGTAATTTCACTAATTTCAAAATTAATTTCTTTGTTATATTTGTTTTACGTACACTTAATTAATTTAGCTTATTGATATATTGACTCTTTATGTAAGTGCAGTAACAAATGTATTTTTTTTATATAAAACTGTTAACTGCAAATTGTTACTAATTGTAATTATTCTACTTTAATCACAATAATTGTATTATACAAATATACAATATTGATTTATTTAGTTTCTTCTGAATTACTATTAAATATAGATTTAGTTTTAATTTACAATACTTATTTTGTGTTTTTTTTGTAAGCTTAATGGACTTTGTTTTTTAATTTCAAGTGAATAACAAAGTGGGAACTATTCCAGGAAATTCTCTTGTCCCTTATTCACAACCAATTGGACTTAAATTACATTTCATTAATTTAAAAGAAAACAATCATTGATGTAATTAACTTCGAAGGAATCGAATCGAAAGTGCACTTACTAATTTGAAACTTGAATTAGATTTCACTTTAATATTGAGAATTTTAATTTTGTAAATTTACAATATGTTTGTATTTACTTTTAATTTTAGATCAAACTTCTTTTTTCAGTTTTCAGTAAATAATAAAAAAAATAAGATCAATTTAATTTAACTGCTTTTACATTTAATTAATTAAATAAAAATCTTATGTTACTTTCATTCAATTTGACTTTTACATTTCAAGAATTCTATAGAAAAATTTACTGATTCCAAATGTGTGCTATGATATAATTAAGAACACTTATGAGATTTATTTATAAACTTTATAAATGTAAATATTCCATGTCCAGAAGCAATTCGTCTTTACATTACACAATTTTCAATAACAAAAACATTCGTCAATGAACTTTGACCAAATTCGTAAGTGATTAGAAACTTGGATTATTTGTCTTTTATATTTAGATTTTAATTACGCTAATTTACAACAGTTATTTAGTTTTCTTTGAATTCTTAATCGAATGGAATTTTTTCTATTTTCAAGTAAACATGTTAACAAATGAAAAAACTATTCTACATATCCATAACAAATTAGAATTAATTGCTTTCTATTGAATAACATTTTAAATGTAAATCCCTTAATAAAATTGAATTTGCAGATAAATAAATAGTAAACTATTCCAAGAAATTCATAAACACAATTTCTTGGAAACACAATTTCAATTAATAAAATTTACTTGTTAAATAAATGCAATTAATTTTGAGGAAATTTTATCGAAATCAAACTTTTTTTAACACGAATCTTAAATTATTACACAATTAGTACACAAAATTTACAATACTTATTTCTAAATGTCAAGTGAATAAGAAAGTACTAAAGTAGCCAGGAACTTCTATTGTTTTCTATACAAAAGAAATAACTTAACAGCTTTAATATTTCATTAATTCCCAAAACTTATTATAATTCGAATTCGACTTCATCTTCTTTTTAATTTAAGAAAACAAAAACAATTGTTAATGGAAGAAATTGCCAAAGAAATTGAACTTACTAACTCGAAACTTGGATTATTTCACTTTCGATGTACATTTTAATATACAGTAACTCATAATATTTGTTAAGGTTTTTCTGGAACATAATGAAATTAAATTTTTCCAATTTTCCAGCAACTTCACCTATCCCACACAATCAACTTAACTTAAATACTTTTATATTTCATCAATATTTAAAACTTAATAAAATTAACTTTCATCGAATAAAAGACAAACTTACAGATTCTAAACTTTCACTTTCTCAAGTAAAAACGATTCCAGACTTCTTTTGTACTTATTTACAATCAACTTAATTTAATTGCTTTCATATGTCATTAATTCTCAAATTTTAATACAGTTAACTTTGATCGACTTAAAAGCGAACTTAGTGATTAGAAACTTCAATTATTACAATTTCATTTGAAAATATTAAAATTTAACAAATTTTCATTTTTTCTTGAACTTAATGGAATTAAATTTATCAATAACAAAGTGCAAACTATCATTAATTCTCAAAACTTAATGTAATTTACTTTGGTCAAATCAAAAGCAAACTTATTGGTTCAAAACTTGGATTATTACAATTTCATTTCAACAGATTTACTTCTCTTTATTGGAATTTAATTTATCCATAACAAAGTATAAACTATTCCAAAATCTTATCTTAACGGAATTTGTCCAGTACAAAGTGTAAACAATTGAACATTCCTATTTACAATCAACTTTAATTAAATGTCTTTATATTTCATTAATTCTCAATATTTAATGAAATTTATTTTGGTCAAATCAAAAGCAAACTTACTGGTTCAAAACTTGGATTATTTCAATTTCATTTTAACAAATTTACTTTTCTTTTCTTACACTTATTGGAATGGAATTTATCCATAACAAAGTGTAAACTATTCCAAAATCTTATCTTAACAGAATTTGTCCACTACAAAGTGTGAACAATTCCTGAAAATTCCTATTTACAATCAACTATAATTAAATGTCTTTATATTTCATTAATTCTCAATACTTAATGAAATTTACTTTGGTTAAATCAAAAGCAAACTTACTGGTTCAAAACTTGGATTATTACAATTTCATTTTAAAAAATTTACTTTTCTTTTCTTGCACTTAATGGAATGGAATTTATCCATATCAAAGTATAAACTATTCCAAAAATTTATCTTAACGGAATTTGTCCAGTACAAAGTGTGAACAATTCCTGAAAATTCCAATTTACAATCAACTTTAATTAAATGCCTTCATATTTCATTAATTCCCAATACTTAATGTAATTTACTTTGGTCAAATCAAAAGCAAACTTACTGGTTCAAAACTTGGATTATTACAATTTCATTTTAAAAAAATTACTTCTCTTTTCTTACACTTATTGGAATGGAATTTATCCATAACACAGTATAAACTATTTCAAAATCTTATCTTAACGGAATTTGTCCAGTACAAAGTGTAAACAATTCCTGAAAATTCCTATTTACAATCAAGTTTAATTAAATGTCTTTATATTTCATTAATTCTCAATACTTAATGAAATTTACTTTAGTCATATCAAAACCAAACTTACTGTTTCAAAACTTGGATTACTACACTTACATTTGTAAATTTTACATTCAACATTTTCTTTTCTTATAATTAATGGAATGGAATAGAACAAAATGTAAACGATTCCAAGAACTACTTTGTTTTCTAACTTAAATTTTTGTAATTCTCATCACATGATGCAATTTATCGAATCAACTAATTCGACAATTACTAATTTTTAATCGTGTATAAAATATAACACACTACTATTTGAAGTTTCAGGTTGAGTTAGATAAAAAAAATAGAAAATCGTGGGGCTTTGATTCGTCTACTAAAAGAGGATTAATTACACTTCTGATGATGAGCACTAATTAGTTTCTTTTTTGTTTTTCTTCTTAAGTTGTTTTTGTACACTCTATCTCTCTCTCCCTCGCTTTTGTTGATTATTTTTTTTTAGTGTTAATGCTTTAGATTGATATCTTCTTTTTTCTGCTTGTTTTAGGCGCGTTTACGAGGGTGGAAGTTTATATGCGTGGGAAAATAAATGGTGTATTTATACAAGTGGAGAGAACGAGATAGTAGACGGAGGGATTGCTGCTTCCGTTTCCGGTTTGTAGTGCCCGACCGGTCGACGACGCGCTCGCAACACGACTGCCGCCAGCGTCGTCGGCGTCGTCACAGAACGACGCCGGAGCGTGCCGCCCGCGCACACAAGAACACATGCAAAGATACACACATATATATACGTACACACACACATACATGAACACACCGACCGTCCGCCTCCTCTCATCATAAAAAAAGACGAAACAGTCGAAAAGAAAAACAGAAGAGCAAAGAGTGAGAGAGAGAAAAAGAGAAAACACATCATCAACCCCTCTTTTCAGCACACACACACACACATGCAAACACAGATATATATACATATACACAAGCCTCTCTCAAACGCGCAGATAGAGATCGCGCTCCGTCTGTTGTTGCAAATGAAACAAAAACTTTAGGGCCTAAGCCCGTCCTGTTTATCTTTCCGATATAATTTATTGACCCTTCTGTGTGCCAAAACGCATCGCGCGGAAGGATGAACGATGGACGGAGAAGAAGGCGAAGTAAAGTAAATTTAATATTTTTTTTGAAAAACGTCAATTTATTAATGTAATTAAAAAGTACAAACTTTAGGTTTTTAATCATTTTTTTAGCGTTCAGGAACTTTACGAGTAATCCGCACTGTTTGAAGCCGGACTAATTGAGTAGAAAAAAAAAGTGATAATTTATCTGTACAAAATATATTTTTTAGAATTTATTTATATTTATCCCAATTAAAATTTAATTTGTTTTGATTTTTTTCAAAGCGTACTATAGTGTATCCGCACTGATCGAAATGCGAGGTATTAAATAAGTTTAAAACACAATCCATAGTAGTAATATGCTTATGTATTATGCTAAATTTTTAGAAAACCGAAATTTTTATTCGTGCAATTAAAACAAGCAAATGTTAAGTTTTTAATCATTTTTCATGCACGGGAATTGTACGGGTAATCAGTTCCGAACTGTTTGAAACCAGACAAATTGAGTAGAAGAAAATCTTGATAATTTATATGTACAAAATAATTTGTTGGTGATATATTTAGAATTTACTTTTATTTTTCCCAATTAAAATTTAGTTTGTTTGATTTTTCAAACTGATCGAAATGGCACTATGTGAGGTATTAAATAAGTTACAAACACAATTAATAACAGTAATATTTATATAGATTATATGTACAAAAACCGAAACCAAAATGTTTATTCATGCAATGCACACGTTAAATTTTTAATTATTTTTCGAGAATGCATCGCATAGTACGGGTAAACATTAAAAGTGCTGTTTGAAACGGGACTAATGCTAATTTAAAACAACATAAAAATAAACAGCACAGTATAATCTTTTTTTTTTATATAATTTACTTTAAATAATAGTATGTATTCCAATAAAAGAAATGAAACAAATTGTATTTTGTCATGAAAATTTCACTTTACTTGTACGAAAACCGAAGTTCTAACACATTTCACATGTTTTTGTTTATTGGTATTATTTATTTTGTTTTCATTCATAATTTATTCCACTTTGGTAAACATCTTGTCTCCATATTAAAAAAAAAATAATTTCTTTTTAATATTGCAAATTTAACAAAAAAATGTCCTGTTTATCCTTTAGATATAATTTATTTATTTATGCTAAAATGCATCGCACGGATGAATAAATGAAGAAAACTAAAGTAAAATAAATTAAATAATTAAAAAATGTTGCCTTATTTCAAATTGCTTAATAATTACCGAAAAAAAACAAATTACTTAAAACATTGAAAATCCTAAACAATACAACAATAATATTTCATGCAACAACCATAATTGATTAAATAGTTAAGATATTGACGAAAATTTCACTACATTGTACCTAAACTGATATGCTCCACTTTTATCTTTGTCCGTTTTTACTGATAAAAATATAAAAAAAATAAACTCTACGTCCGTCCTGTTAATCCTTCAAATATAATTTATTAATCCTTTTGTGTTCCAGAACTCATCGCGCGGAATGATGAACGTTGAAAACAGAAGACTAAAGTAACGTAAATTAAATATTTAAAAAATGCCATCTCATTTTTATTCATGCAATTAAAACATATAAAACATTAAGTTCCAGTTCATTCGGGCATCATTTGTTTGCAAATTTAAGTATTCCTTGTTTTGTATCGTTTTTTTTTCTATTTATTTATTCATTTGTTTCGTTTTTCTTGTTTCATTCCTTCATCCGCCCCCGTTTTTTGTATCTACCTTTGGCCATCGTCTTGCCCGCGTTTTAATAAACTAACATCTTTTAATTAAAACTATATCCATAAATTATTTTAATTGTCCCGAAAATGCAATTAAGCTGCCGCCGCCGCCGCGAAATACGGCCTCCGCGAGAGAGAGGCCCACCGCCGCCGTAGCCGACGCCGCCACCTCCCAAACAATTCACGGTATCTCCGTTTATTATTAATGCAAAAATTTTGAATTTTTCACGCGAACCTCGCATAATCCTGACCCGAAAAACCGTTTTCGCAAACATCAAACGGTAATAATAATTAAACGAATACTTCCCATATATTCACTCTGAATTAGCCAACATTTTTACATAAGTTTGCATAGAGTTAATTAAATAAACGCAATTGCTTTTCTTGTATTTCTTTTATGTGAGTAATTTTAGTGTAGGGTATAAGTTCCGAATATGTACGTAACACAAACATTTACCTTTCGTTGACAAACAATATTAGGGACAATTTTGTTTGTTTTCGGTTAATATCTCAATTGTTGATTTTACAACTATCGACATTGTAATCTCGGTTATTTTTACTGAAATTTTCATTTCTAACTCACAGCTAAAAAAACAATTTGTTTCTAAACTATATTTGTTTTTTAATTACTTATTATGTATACATTTCAAAATATTAAAAACAATCTATGATAATTATACAATTACAGTAGAATATAATTAAGTTCGAATAGCAGTTCAAATAACGAAATTCAACAAAATATGAGCATTGATCAATCTATGCGTATTATACAAATATGATAGAACTTCAGTTTTCGAACATATTTTATTTCTAAAATCTAATCGAATACCGAAATTTCATAGTAAAATTAATGTAAAATGGATATAATACGTAATCGCGTCGCGCCTGAGAAACTCCTTTAAATGTAACGTTAGTAATTAATTTATATAAATATATAATTGATTAGATTGAAAAATGAATAAAACATATTACCTTCAAAGCATATTCATTTTATAAAAATGTAAAATAAATCTTTGTCATCACTATTATCGGTTGTTTCTGATTGTTTGTCTATATCTAATTTTCGTAAAATCTATGCAACCGCTTAATTTTCTGGATCAAAGTCGCGTGGCGTCTAAGAGACTGCTGAGAATATTTTGTTGTTAATACTTCAACGCATTACTCTAAAACGGCGTGATTTGGTTTTTTAAATCGTCAGTGAGTATAAAGATGGTACATAGGTCGGGATTCCCCAACATTTCCAGTTTTAAAAGTTGCGATTGGTTTGTACCCACTAGCATCACGTAAACGCCGCGCGAATAACAGAGAGTTAAATATAATGTACAATTACGTTAGAACCTTAGTTTATTCCTAAAGCCTATTCGAATACCGAAAACATTTTGCACAGAAAAATTAATTTATAATAAAGTTGGTTTTTCTCTAATATTCTATGAATTATAAAAAATCATTACATTACAAAAATCAGTACAAATTACTTGAATTTTCTTTATGATTAAAGTAATTTTCCAAGCGACAAAATTTCCTACTTTGTTTTTATAACTTTCACCAATAAGTTATATAATTTTTAAATGCAATTTCTTGAAATAAATTTGTAATAAATTCCTATGAAAAACAGTTTATTTTAATTACATTAAAAAAAAAAACATTAATTTCGATAAATGTACTTATTTTTTGTAGAGATTATGTAACGTTATAATAAAATAATTTAATTTTCAAATACAATTAAAAAATAACATTCCATAAAAAATATGTAATTATTAACTAGTATTTACTGGGAACAAATTTCTATAAAAAAGGCTATGAAAAATAAATTCATCATATTTGTAATAAATCAATTAATCAAAATGGATTTTATTGCTTATTTTTCATATTTAGTATATATAATTTGATCTATAGAAATAATTTAATAACATTTCAATAAAAATGATTATTAATTGGAAGTAATTTTTACTTGAAATAATTTTCTAACAGATTTTTTGTAAAAAAATGAAAAAAAAAGTACATACACATTTTTATTAACATTTTCTTACGTAAACTGTAACGAATCAATTAATCAAGATGGCTTTTCATCGCGACAACCTTCTCTACCCGACGGTTTTTTTTTGTTCGTTTACTTTTCCCGGGTCGGGGAAATTGTGCCACGAAAACAAAAGTTTAAATCGCAATACACATTTATTATGTTTTGCACGGATTATGTAACGCGCATGGAAACGAAGAAAACAATGGAAAAAAAATCGTGAAGCGAGAGGGGAGCAGTGGTTAGGTTGGTGCATGGGAATGAGGAAAGTATATTAATTTTTACGGCTTTACGATTTCCACGCAGAGATTGCGAAGATCTCTGCGAGGGATATAAACGTGCATGGGGGGGTGGTGGAGGGTCCGCGCTTAATGACCGGCCAAAGCCGAACGCGCAATTATTTTTATAACCAGGACGATCGCGACAAACAAAAAACTGTTACCACCACCATCGACAACTCTTTCCCTCCAATCCAATGGTATTGTTGAGGTGGTGGTCGAGGGGTGGAGAGGTGTACTCGTTGCCGGTGGTCAATATTTTAAAACGCGATTGTGATCGCGGCCTGCCGAGACCCACATTTAAACAGAAACAACAACAACAAAAAAGAACAAAGAAAAGGACGAAACAAAAATGTCCAGCCGCGACCTCCTGATTATATCCGCCGTTTCGATCTTTTTTAATTTAGAGTAAATCGTGGAAGGGGCGGTTGGAGCGAGCGAAAGCCGTGTTTTCCTCCTTACGAAACCATTCCGGGCATGTAACACACGTTCTTTACCTTTATCAATTTATACATAACTTTATAATTTCTAGTTTATTATTTTTTTCCTTACAAGTCGTTTTTTTCTCTCTATGAACTGCACGACACATTGTCGCGTTTGCAGAAATGGTAGATGCGCCGGGTAAGTAAATGT